TTTCGTATGGTCCTTTACTAGCTTTTTGGTGCTCCCAACCAACTTGTATGAAAAATTCAGCACCCCATTAGCCTTTCCATCACAGCTTCTCACCTGATAACTCACAAACCTCAAAGCCTTGTCGAACTCATCTATGAGGTCCTTCATTGGAACCCAAACTTCGCCAATAGTTCTATTTACCAACCCTTCACATCGCAAATCGAACCTGAGAAAAAGATTATCACGGTGGTCGTGAGATAAGCTTCTGAGATCAAAGTGCAACAGGTGATTCCATTCAGGGTTCCCTCCTTCACGTCTGGCGATGGGCGTTTTCCGACGCTGCAGACGTTTTTGCTGTTGCTCTTTCTTGTTCTGTTCTTCATCCACAATATATACAACAGAGTAGACTGAAAGCTTCTGGAAAAAATTGAAGGCTTTGAGACCCCTGCACGAAATGAGTGTGAGTTCTAGAGAGCTCCACTCCATCTTATATTTTTGTCTTCAGGCTTTCTGGTGGAGATGAGGCAAATTGAATTGAAGAAAGGGTAAAAAGCAATAAATAAGCTTAAAAGGCAAGACCAGGTCCAGAGAGAGTACCATTCAAGGATTGGTTGACTACTATCGGTCATCGTATTAAATTATAGTCAAAACGTGTGATAACATGGATGATGATGATGATGATGATGATGATGATGATGATGATGATGATGATGATGATGAACAAAAGAGAGTTAACTTTTTTTCTTTTTTTCCTTTGACCAAACCCAAAGAAAGTACATGTTAAATAAGTGTTTGAATTATAAACAATAAATATATGATGTTTAAAATAAATATTAATTATCATAATCTCTAATTATATAAATAAAGGTGTGTGAATTATAATTATAAACAATAATAATAATTAATAGTTGTTTAACATCAGCAATCAATTATCACATGCTCCTTAGCATGTAGAACAAACTGGTACCAAAACTTTGTATCAAATCTTTAATATATGAAGTGCAAAGTTTTAAACCATATGCTATTATTATATCTAAGTATACCTACCCTAAACTAAATAGATAAGTCGCAAAATATGTGATATCCATTTGAACAAACAAGATGACCTTTTTGAGCACGATTTAGAGTTCAGGATGAAACTAGATAGGATAAAATCAATCAAATAAAATTGAATTAGATTGGTTTACACAAAACAATAAAAGTCTAATTTTATGTTTGGTATTTTATTGAAAAGAACAATGTTTATCCCCCCTACCTCATAAAAATTAAAAAGAAAATCATCTCAAAATTATATAATTTCAATAAATTTCTATTGAAAAAGATTAAAATACTTTCTTTTTAAAGTATAAATTAAAGTATTTTTTATTCTTTCCTGTAATACTTGATTAAAATTATGTAATTTTGGAATAATTTTTAAGAGGTAAAATGAATAAATACTAATCCCTTTATTGAACTGGATATAAAATTTATTTCATATTTAATTTGGCAATAGAGAAAATTACATGGAATAACCTATAATTTATATATGGGGACAAAAATGCCATAATTCAATATATATGATATTTTTTAAAGTTACAAGAATTTGTTAACATAAAAAATATTTGAAAATTTTCAATAATCATGAAATTTTGTCTACATGAAATAAAAAGTCTATAAGCCTAAAAAATATATTAATTTATCAAAATATAATCTATTAAAATGTCCAAAAATACTATTTATATAATATAAAAAGAACAATTCAAAATTAAATTTATCAAAATAATTTATTAAAAATTACCATATTTGAATCTTGAAGAATAAAATTGAAAGAAAATACCTAAAAAGTTATGGTAAAATTGACATATTAAGGTGACCAAAATAATTAATATAAAAGTATCAAAGCGAAAGATCCATTTCTATTTTCTTGATATCCATTCACATAAAAACATAAGGTACTAATAATTCCAAGTCAATTGTAATTTATTTTATCACTTAATGTGAATAGATAAAGATAATAATTTAGCCTACAATAGCAAGAAATTACAACTGAAACATTATAGATTCTAATGGCCAGTAAGCCAATGCAAGGAGTTTGTTTTTCCTACAAAATGGAGATGCAAAGAGTAAATTTAGAAAAAGCAATTGAATCAAACATGATTAACCAAAGCTAAACCATGCCTCAAAGAATTGAAATAAAAACCCAAATATACTATTATATGTTAAAACCATAGAAGAAATGGTTTACTATGACTATGAGTTTTTGTCAAGTTGGGACAAGTTTCATCATATAATTTATAATCAAGCTGATAGGAAGCAAGGGGATTCATGAACAAGATGCACAAGCAAGTAGAGAGAGAATTTTAGAGGGCTTTAGCTCCATATCTAGACCTTGGATCAAAAGGGTAACAAATTAAAAATTCTACAAGCATAAGAATACAATTTAATAATTGCAATTGCCCTCTTAAATCAACCCAACTAAGAGAGAAATAAATCACTCAAGCATAAATTAAAAATTATTTCCACATCAAAAATTCAAAACCATATGTGAATAGAAAGCATTTAAATTTAGCTTTCTCTTACCAACTAAGCAGATCTATGAGCTAAAATCCAAGAAAATGAAGAATAACCCTTAAACCCCATGATCAAGACAAAACAATAAAAATCAAAATACCTAAAAAGATCCCAGCCACAACCACCTCTTCAATAATTCTCAAATTATAGATCATGAAACTAGTTATAGACAAAACAACCCTTCAATAATTCATATACATATGAATAGTTTTAGTGGACCACTAGGACAGATTTATCAAATGAATCACTTACATATCAGCTACTGTTATAGACTTGGGAATTAGAAGTGAAAGAAAAGTTCATTGCAAGTAGGATTTTTTGGATGTGGGATTTGCTCACAGTTCACTCAACCATTATAAGGATTTAAAAGAAAAAGAACTATAATGCACCTATGTTGTGAACTTAATTATTTCATATAGCAATTGTTAACTAGGGTAGTGAATGTGATAGCCACAGATGCAAAACTATAATGCAGAGTTTTAGATATTTAAAGGCAATAATTTATGGTTTTTATCATGCATATGCCTACTCATACAAAATTCTAATGTTCCTTTCTAGCTAGAAACTTTCAACTCTAAAGGCAACTTAGCTCAAATTTCTCAAAAATAAATAATTTTGATTCCACATTTACAACTTTCCACATTCACCGGTTATTGTTGCATTTCTTTCTTCAGAATGTCTTTCCTAGTGGAGGAAAAAACAAGATGCATGCAATTGAATTGTAATGAATGCAAACCACAACGATTAAAAAATTGCAATACTAAAAATTTTAAATAAATTTCAAACCTTGCACTTTGTCTCAACACAATGTATGCATGTCTTTGTAAAAAATGAAAACCATGCTTTATTTTTCACGCCTAAAATGAATTAGTTTGGTAGCAATTTATATCCACTTCATTAGAAATTGCAAATTAAAAAGGTCAATTAGAGATAAGGACAGAGATGCCTGAGGGACCAAGAGTCAACATAAACAAAATACCCAAAAATTGAGATAAAGATTAAAGGCTTCCCATAATGAATAGATCGACACCAAAGAAGAAGAAATATAGAAGATTAGCTACTTCCCATGTGATGAGGAGAGATGAGAGGCAATCTTTGTTTGATAGATTAAACAAAGAAGCAAAAAAGACAGATAAATTTTGGACTTACAACACAATTGATGTAAATTGTATGCAAAAAAAAAAAAAAAAAACTAAGGGATAGAAGTCTTAGAAGCCACTTGTGTTTATTTGACTTTTTAGTTATTGTTGGTTTATGTCAATTTAGTAATAGGTGGCATATACTATCTTAAAAGTGTTTGTATCTCTTTGTTGGGTGCTTAGTTATTCGGCATTCTTCAATCTTCTCAAAATCCTCTATAATTCTTTTGTATTCCAGACTATTACAAAGGATATATATTGCATATCTTTTCTCTTTTGTGGATTTTCCTTATATTCTTTTAAATTTTGTTTACTGGTATCATTTTGGTATCAAAGCAAGTTCTTGGTATTATGGAAACCCATTCACAAGAACACAAGAAACTCATTGACGATTTTGTTAAAACAACCATGGCTGAGATGGGCATACATTATGAACAACTACTTAAGGCCATAGTGGAGAAAAGCAAGTGTCAAATTTGAGGACTCAAATGCCAGGTTTGAATGTGCAACAAAATCAAATCATGGCACAACTTGATACTTCTTTTACTTTTGGAGGATCTTAAATTTATGGTAATCCATCTTCAAACACAAGTATGGGTCCACTTACTTCCAGGACCACTAAGATAGAATTTCCCGAATTTAATGGTGAAGAATTGAAAGATCAGTTGTACAAACGTAATTAATATTTTAGAATCGATGGTACTCTTGATGAACATAGAGCTCATTTGGCTTCAATATATCTTGAGGGAAAGGCTATGAAGTGGCATCACTCTCTTTTAGAGATTAAGGGAGAACAAGTGCTTTCAATTTGGGAAGAATATGTTGAGGGCCTTAAGGCTAGATTTGTTGAGAAGGCTTATGAGGATCCTATGTCTAGTTTAATCTCACTTAAGCAAATTAGGATGGTGGAAGAATTCCAAGAGTAGTTTGATTCTCTCTTTCCTTGAACTAGAATAAATGAAAAACAAGTAATGAGTTTTTTCTTTAATGGGTTGAGAAGAGAGATAAAATTCCAATGAGGATGTTTAAACCATAGACTCTTTATGATGCTTATGCTTTAGCCCAACTACATGAGTCTTTTATTCAAGAGGCAAAGAGGTTGGTTTTAACATATGAACCTTACCCCAAACCAACTATACCCTTAATATCTACACCTAGCATTCCTCCTTGGACAACTAACACTACTTCAGAAACATTTACCTCTACCTACTCTACCAAATTACTTACCCCAAATGCTAGACCATTAAACCCATTTTCTAAACATATAAAACCCCTTATTGGACAAAAGATGGAAGAGAGGAGGCAAAAATGATTATGCTATTGGTGCAATGAAAAATTCACCACTAGTCACAAATACAAAAATATGCAATTATTTTCCATTGAAGTTATTGAGGGTGATGAAGGAGAAAGAAATGAAGTCTTTGAAGAAGTCATAGAAGCATTTCTAGATGACTCGAATTTAAACATGTTAGTTCACGCATTATTTGGAGGCAACAATGAAGCTTACCACATAATAAGGGTAAGTGGATATGTGACTAAGAAACCAACGCCCATACTCATTTTGATTTTGTTAGTACTCATAACTTTTTATATATTAATATCACAAAAAGCGTTGGATGTATAGATTACAAGTGGTTGATGCTTTGAAAGTTGATGTAGTTGATGGAAGTTCATTGGAATGTGTCCATATGTGCCAAGATTTTACCTAGTGGTTACAAGGTAAGTCATTTCATACAAATATATTAATTTTACCTCTTGGTAGTTGTGATATGGTGTTGAAAATTCAATGGTTGGAGACCTTGGGACATTTTGTGG